CGTACTAGTGCACACTTGTAGCCATTGAATCTGCTGGCTCTGCATTGGAACAAATCTTTCACTACAACTGGCAGTAGAAAGTTTTGGGGGCTTTATTTATATAAAAGATAACAAATGTAACTTTTTTTCACAACAGAAAGTTTAATTATGGTTTATCCTGCTGATGTAATTCAATTTTATTTATATAGCGTCAAATCACAACAACAGTTATATGGTACAGACAGTAAAGGTGATGTTGCTATAGACTAAATGACTAAATGAAAAATGGTACAGATATTTATAGTAGTGTTAATGATAACAATCGCAATGTTAATGATTATAATAACAATAATAACAATAGGACTAGTAACAATAGTCGTTGCAGCAGAGGGTGTCGAGCAGGAACACGGGGGCAGCAGGTGACCCGCAGCCACAGATCCAGACTCAACAGCTCCAGAGCCAGAAAACCTGCAGGAAGTGATAGGAGAGAGGAGAGAGACGAGAAAGCACAAGACTACCAGAAAGGGGAGAAGTCGAGTTAGTAACATGCAATAATAGGATGAGGTTGCATACAGAGGGAGAGAAAGTAGAGGAGAGAGGAGCTCAATGCATCATGGGAAATCCCCCGGTAGTCTACGCCTATAGCAGCATAACTAAGGGATGGTTCAGGACTAACCTGAGCCAGCCCTAACTATAAGCTTTATCAAAGAGGAAAGTCTTAAGCCTACTCTTAAATGTGGAGATGGTGTCTGCCTCCTGAACCCAAACTGGAACCTGGTTCCACAGGAGAGGAGCTTGATAGCTGAACGCTCTGGCTCCTAGTCTACTTTTGGAGACTCTAGGAACCACAAGTAACCCTGCATTCTGGGAGCGCAGTGCTCTGGTGGGGTAGTAAGGTACTATGAGCTCTTTAAGATAAGATGGTGCCTGACCATTAAGAGCTTTGTAGGTAAGAAGAATGATTTTAAATTCTATTCTGGATTTTACTGGAAGCCAATGCAAAGAAGCTAAAACAGGAGAAATGTGATCTCTTTTCCTGGTTCCTGTCAGAACACGTGCTGCAGCATTCTGGATCAGCTAAAGAGTCTTAATGGACTTTTTCGAGCAGCCTGATAATAAGGAATTGCAGTAATCCAGCCTAGAAGTAGCAAATGCATGGACTAGTTTTTCTGCATCATTTTTAGACAGGAGGTGTTAAAAAGGCTGTCCTTGAAATTTGCTTAATGTGAGACTTAAACGACATGTCCTGACCAAAGATAACTCCAAGATTCCTCACAGTGGTGCTGGAGGCCAGGGCGATGCCATCAAGGGAAACTATATCTTTAGATAATGCGTCACGGAGGTGCTTAGGCCCCAGAACAATAACTTCAGTTTTATCTGAGTTTTAACATTAGAAAATTACAGGTCATCCAGGTTTTAACATCCTGAAGGCACATTTGAAGTTTAGCTAAATGATGAGTTTCATCTGGCTTGATCGATAGATATAACTGAGTATCATCTGCATTACAATGAAAGCTTATGGAATATTTCCTGATAATATTGCCTAAAGGAAGCATATATAAAGTGAAGAGGATTGGTCCGAGGACAGATCCTTGAGGAACTCCATGACATTGGCATGCATGGAGGACTCATCGTTAACATGTACAAACTGAAATCGATCTGATAAATAGGACTTAAACCAGCTTAGAGCGGTTCCTTTAATGCCAATGAGATGTTCCAGTCTCTGCAATAGGATCTGATGGTCAATGGTATCAAATGCAGCACTAAGATCTAATAAAACCAGTACAGAGACAAGTCCTTTGTCTGATGCAATAAGGAGGTTGTTAGTAATTTTCACCAGTACTGTCTCTGTGCTATGATGAGCTCTAAATCCTGACTGAAAATCCTCAAATAAACTATTGCTCTGTAGAAAGTCACACAGCTGTTTGCTTTCTCAAGGATTTTAGAGAGAAATGGAAGGTAAGATATAGGTCTATAGTTGGCTAAAACATCCGGATCAAGTTTGGGCTTTTTCAGAAGAGGTTTAATTACAGCTACTTTAAAGTACTGTGGTACATAGCCTGTTGATAAGATAGATTGATCATATCTAGTATAGAAGTGCTGACTAAGGGTAAAATTCTTTAAGCAACCTAGTCGGTATGGGGTCTAAGAAGCAGGTTGATGGTTTAGATGAAGAAATTATTGAAGTTAGTTGGTAAAGATTGAGGGAATAATAGGGAATTAATGATGATTTATATTGTAAGACGCCTTTTCTTTTAACTCCTTTACTCCAAAATCATTATCAGGAGGCTTTGCTGCTCATGATCACATACTGTAGATACATTCACATTTGTCATTGTTTGACCATTTCTCTAATCATGTGAGCAAAGCTACGCAAACCAAGCTTCACATTTAGTTCACAATAGCTGTTTAGGGCTTTCCTCCATGTTGTTTTCCAATCCAGTCAAGCAAAGAGCAGGGATTGTGTAGCAAAAATGGTCTGAAAAAGTAGTACCGACCAATGTTGTACTTCTTCTCTTTTTAATTTTTCATCTTGTATTTTCTCAGTTGTTCATTTTTCTCTTCTTATTCATCATCTCCTTGGTCTTGTAGTAATGCTAAGAAATTCAATACTATCAGGTTCTGGTTGATCTTAAATTAGTGTATGTGTGTGTGTGTGTGTGTGTGTGTGTGTGTGTGTGTGTGTGTGTGTGTGTGTGTGTGTGTGTGTGTGTGTGTGTGTGTTCTTCTGAAAAAAACACTGCTGCTGACAGACCATCATTTAACAATTAAGAGCCCTGTGTAGTGGAGAGATGTCGGCTTATTTAGTTTTTCAGGTCATTAGGAATAAACCTAACACAGATAATTAGCGGGAATTTAGATGGTTTGTTTGCTGTAGTGTAGCTTTGCAGCACTTTTCTTGCTCTGAGGTCATGCAGACATTTCTTGGCCTTGATGCTAGCACATGAAGCCACACACAGACACATACACACACAGAGAAACACACTTTTATCGCTCTCTCAGAAACGTGGAAATAGAAACATTCAGAGAGTGTGTAATATTGGGCTGTTAGGGACAAAGAGCATGTGTGAAGGGAATTATCAGCTTCCTCTCGTTTCTGAAGTAATCCCTTTTTTCGCCCACTGAGGTATTTTGCACACATGGGTCCCTGCTGTCCTGCAGAGAGGATGTCGTCACGGCATAATGCTGAGGATCTGGTTTCAAAATATCTCCCGGGCTATCGAGCCGTTACCATGCCAACGTGCTCTCAACATAACATGAAACCAAGGAGCTTTTTCTCATTAGACACGGTCGAGAACAGAGAAAAGACTAAAGAAGTGGCCTTTAAGCCACAGCCAAAAACAAGACAAGAAAGGTTCATCAGTAATATGTTAACTGTCAGTGAATGTGATGTTACAGCAAAATAAACACGTGTGTAATTCAGATCATGTTGTTCCAATACTCTCAACAAATTCTTAAAGGGAAACATCTTGTCTATCTTTCTTTTTATTTCTGTTTAAGTTTGGTGTGTTTACAATTTATCATTAAAAAGTCCCAATTGTGTTGATGTATTTTTAAGGTCAAATTAGCATTTTGAACATTATTACAAGAAACAAAACCAATATCCTACTTTTTGTCAAAAAAAAAAAAAGATCCTTTAGTAAATGTAGCAGTACCACAATGTAAAAATACTCCATTACAAGTAAAATTCTGTTCACAATTGTCAACAGTAAAAGTGTTGTGTAAAAGTGTTGTTTCTGCAGAACAGTGTCCTTTTGGACTGATATTTTATCAGGTATTACAATACTAGATTGGTTCTCAACCTTGGGGTCTGGCCTCCTCCAAAGGGTCACAAGATAAAAACAGAAATAAACAAATAACACTCATGGGAGCACACAAAACATATATTAAAATGATTAGATCACAAGGGAGCAAACACCTGAATACCCTGTGTCCCCAGCCTGGACCTGGGGATCAGGGGAGAGTCAATAACAACTGGAGCCTAGGGATGGAGAGAGAACGTCAACAGTGTAACAAACATACTTGTGACCAGTGTGAGGAGGCCAAAGCTGGATAAACATGGTATTTTTTTTTCTAGTTCTCATGAGTAACCTGGCAGCAGTATTTTGTACAAGCTGGAGGTGTTGGATTGATTTCTGGGGCAGGCCACTAAATAACGACTTACAGTAGTCCAGTTGGCTGGAAACAAAGGAGGAATAAGGGTTTTTGACTTTAAAATGAAAGAAAAAATCAAATCCTAGAAATTCTCCTGAGCTGACAGATGGCTTTCTTTTATGAAATGTTGGATGATTTTACCTCTTTGGCCCTCAAAAACAGTTATTTAAATTAAACCGTCTGATGTCATTACGTTTTGGAGGAACTGCTAACAACTTATCTGAAATGTGACCTCAAAGATGGTCACAGGCCAAAAAGATGAGGAACCACTGATTTTAATATTTAACAATGTGTTTTATTTTACAATCTTACATGTTATCTTAATCTGTAAAGTCATTAGTAAATATAGCTGTCAGATAAATGTAGTGGTCCCTATAGATAAACTGGTATAAAATGGAAATACAAGTTCTTCAAAAGTACAGTTTTCAAGTAAAATACACATAGTTACTTTCCATCATTGCGAATCCATGCATCGTGTGTTTTTTTTAAACACTTTGGGCTGATGCTCTCTCTCCTGCAAGTATTGGACAAACAGCAGCATGCAGAGGCCAACTTCAACATCAGTCAAAATGAAGGCAGAATTTCCACAATGTGTCGTCAGCACAGCACAGAGAACCTCACAGTGCGCCAAGCTGGTTTTGAAGTCATAAAATATTTAGGTCTTGCTATAACAAAACAATACATTTAGCAAGAAGAGACATCCAAAGTTAGTGCAGGCGACTGAGTCAACATCTGCACTGCATTACAGTGCTGGCTCGGTCCAAGCTGACAGTAGTGATTAATAGTAAATGATACATGATTTGGGGACTTTGCTGTAGCTGAAGGATCAGTTAATCAACACCCAGAACAAATCTCTCACTCTCTGTCTTTCTATCTCCCTCCACAGTCTCTCGTTCCCAGGTGTCCTCACAGAGCCAGGAAGTGCTGATGGAGAACGTGACCCGGATGTCGGAGCGCTCTCGGCTGCTCCAGCAGACCCTGGGCGAGGTGTCTACTCAGGTTGACCTGCTGGAGAACATTTGGAAACTGGAGAACCTCTTCCAGAACCACAGCAACTGGCTGCAGAGGCTGGAGATCCTCATCAAGGTACGACACAAGACTAAAAGAGAGGAAACAGGAGCTTCTACGGACTGAGACGTGGGAACTGACTTATGGGACATAAATAGTTTGATGATGAGGTTTTCAGTGACATTAAAGGTTCAACATTTTTCAAGTCTGTCTGAAAACAGTGTGCCTGTATGAACATTGAAACAGGTTTAGCTGTAATCATTCTTCTTGTTCACAGTGGTCACGTTCATTTTAAAGTTTAAGTTATCTACCTGGAATGTAAATTTGTACATATTTGAGCAGGATTGCCAGATGCAGCTGCGTTACAGCAGGGGAGGAATGTAACTAAGTACATTTACTCAAGCACACTCAAGTAAATTGTACCTTTTACTCCACTTCATTTGCCTGACAGCTTTAGCTACTAGTTACTTTTCCGATAACATTTTCCATACCCTTTCTGTCCAGTAAAAAATTTTTTCTTTCTAATGAATTGATCTTTCAGATAAACTGAAGGATTAAATGTTCCTTTATGGGATGAGAAAATCCTCCTACATCTTAAGCTAAATGAACTTTTTTTTTACTTGGACTAGACAGAAAATGCATTGCCACAAAGATGAAAACGGCTGTCTGAGCTCATCAAAAGTTAAGTTCTCACAGGATAAACTATTATATAATAGTAAAACACTGACAACGAACAATTTCTGCAGAATTAGTACTTTTACTTTTGATACTTGCAGTCAATAATGCTGATAATACTTACATAATTCTATTTAAGTAAGTTAATGAATGAAGGGTTTTACTTATTGTAGAGTATTTTCATAGTGTCATAGTAATTTTACTTAAGTAAAGGATATGAATACTTCTTCAACCACTGTATTGCAGTCTGACAAAAGTTGAGCCAGATGCACTGTTGATCTGTTGTATCACTATAGTAGCCTTATTTAATATTTACTCAACAATCAATGCAGTTTAACTGTGATCTTTTGAAGTTATTGTCACATGTGAGAGTAATGATGAAATACTTCCCCAACAGGGCCTGGAGGTGGAGCTGAGAACCATCCAGGCTCAATCACTTCAGTCAGAGGGCTACCTGGTGCAGCTGGATGACAGGTTGTCCTCTCTGAGCAGCTCTGCTGGCAGGAACCTGACAGGCTTAATTGCAGAGGTGTCCCGAACCTCAACCTGGCTCCGCAACCAGGACATCCTTGTCAGGTACACATATATATGACAGTGAAGAAAAGATCCTCATTTCCAAAGCGTGAAAGTGTAATTGCAGTGAAACAGTGAAGCTTTGAAATCAAATATAAAGTTCTGTTCTCTTTCAGGGAAACTTCAGGACAGATGAGCAGGCTGACTGAAAAACTGGACGAGGTTAATTGGACTGTGGGAGCTGTCAATCACACCTTCAGCAATGACATCAGTATTCACCACTTGAAGATACAAGACTTGCAGGTTGCCTGTACATTGAATCTAAAATGTTTTTAAGACACAAAGTTAACACTTACAGTAGAGCATATACACAATACATTTTATAAGCTTACTTTTCCTACACAGTGAGGAAATCTTACTGTTACCGTTGTATTGCACCATACTGATGAACTGCTGCACTTTACACTCCCTCCGCCTTTACTCCTGCTGCTCAGATCCAGATCAGCAACATAACAGAGGACACCAGCAGTTTATGGGTGACCCATGTCCACACGGAGGCCCAGCTGAGGAATGAAATGGAGATCCTCAACACAATTACAGAGGACCTCCGCCTAAAGGATTGGGAGCACTCCATGGCCCTGAAGAACCTCACCATATTAGAAGGTCAGCTAAGAAGGATTAATTCTCTGGTTGCAAAAGAGTACCTTTTTTCAAGAAACTTGTATTTTACCAGAATTTGGCTGCTCCCAAAGGGAATGCTTAATTTTGGCCCAAATGTGACACCAGAAGGGTGCTTGAAAAATCCAAGCGCGTCTCTTGTCAGCACAAATGCTCCCCCTAAGTGCCCTTGGGGTGAGCTTTAGTACTCCTGTCCAGTAGGCATTGAATTGATGATTTGCAGGTCAAAAGGCGTCTTGATGTCTAAGTTAGAACTGGACTGAATTGGGTTGAGATTGGAATTTTTTTCAGGCATCAGTGTTGTACATTTTTTCATACATTTTTTCAACATCTTTTACTATATATCAATGTGAGGCAAGTCCTAAATACACTTCAAAGCATATCCAAACAATGGCTATAGGTGATAGGTATAGACATTTTAGCCCAGTTTGAACCTAGACAGCTAGCCTATGATGGTATCCTCCTTCTAACCAAAGCCATGTCCTGTGTTCAACTGACTCAACACATATGTCTGTGCTGGTGACTAAAGGCAGAGACATTTTATAGGCTACAAGGAGACAAGTCTCTGTGTTCAGCTTTTCAGTACTTTCGTAACTTCTATCTGAATCTCTTTGGTTTGGAGTTTAGTTTCACTCCTACATACCTGTCAGTACTTTCAAGTGTCCGCCAATTTTGTAGATGTTTAATGATTCAACAAGCTTCAGCAATGTTGGGGCAGTTTTCTATTACTGTTGATGCAAACATTTGCTGCTGCTGTTACATATTATAGATTTAGCCATGTCTGTGTTCTGCGTTATTTGGTCAACAGATAAGTCAAAAAAGAAATGTTATTGAAAGCAGAGATGACCACAGTGAGCTGTAAGATGGAAAGTAGTGCAGTAGTTTGGCAACAGAAAAAAATGGATATATTAATAATTCTATAAAAATCATAAAATAGTAATTGCAAAGTCCAAAGTTGATAAATACCTTAAAACTTTAATTCAGTGAAGGTCAAAGGTCTCAGTTATGACAAGACTTTTTACAAAACTCATCGCTTTGCAGGAATTTTCTCGATGCAGCAGAAAAGAAGAATTATATACATCAAAGAACATGAAAATAATAGATAAACAAGTGACTAGGATAACAAGATCATGCATGTGTGCATACATAAAGTACAAAGAAAATACATTTCATGGAAATACATCGTGGAATTTACAAAACATGTCTATTCCCTTTGGAAATATGATAAGTAGTGTATGACTAACGAGAGCAGGAATACATGAAAAACATGTGAACACAGATGGAGAACATGAGAACTGTAACTCTTAGTATAATGAATCCCTTTGGGTGGAACTTTGTGCTCCAAAAAGATCATTAACAATAGCTTATCTGAGCCAATTTATGTTTGCAGTGTGATTGAATGCAAGTGACCCTAGCATGCAAACGTGATTTTACACAGTGGGATTACTACCCCGGGGTATTGAGCAACTCTAAATGTTCTTCCTCCAATCTGTTCAGATGTGATTAGTCCCGACGTGGTCCGACTCTCGCTGCCAGGGCACAAAATGACTTCCCTGGCTTGTTAAAATCAGAATAGGTATGCTATGATGTAATGCTGGCAGGGGACGCAGCCCGCTCTGATTGATGGCAACTAAAACCGAATGAGACCCCTGATCTTGTGTCTGCTTCACATGTGGGTGGGATGCCGTTTCTCCTGAGCCTGGAAACAATTGTGGGTTAAATTTAGACGCTACATGCAGAATGAAAACTCAACCACTCAGCTCTGTCATTAGTTTTAGCTCTGCAGCCCATTTGTTTGTTGTTAGCTCGCAGTCACCTTAGCCAAGAAAAGTTTTACATCTCTATCCACGTTTGCCTCCTCTGTTCGGTTCCTTTCTCGTGCCTCCTTTTTTTCTCCATCCTTCTTGTCTTCTTATTCAGTTTATTTGCCGTTAATTCCTCTCTGACTCACACAGTGATGCTCATGCCACACATGTTACTTGTTGTATTAATGATAAAAGACATATGAGAAGCTGTTTAAAATATCGCCTCAAGTCTTTTTTTGGGGGATGCAAAAAGCTTAAGTATTACCTTACAATACAACATGATATGATTTACAGTAACGTGCCCACTAAGGGAAGATGATTTTGATTACATATTGAAATACTGGGTTTATTAGATTATTATCAATTGGTGTCTCATCAGTGATTAGACATTTGGATTTTCAAAGGTCAATGTCAATGTTTTAGGGAATGATGTTTTCAATAACCACATTGTCAGAATTTATTTTTTTATATCCTGCTGAGCTTTATGTCCTTAAATTCTTGATATATTCTTAGGGTGATTTTTTATTCGACTTAATGTGGATGTTAAAATTTAGGTCTCCATGACATCAAGATTTATGGCTTAGTTTGTGGTCCTTGATGCCACCGATTGAAGCTGAGCACTGACATCAAATTGTTCGCCTTTTATTAATTATGTGTTGTATGACTTTTCTTTGTTTAATTTAATTTAAGACGAATTTGGCACATCACTGTTTTCTTCACTACACCTACTCAGTGCTGGTATGGGATCACAGTTACTTGGTGACATTGTTATATAAATATGTGTGTCGTCTGCATGATTATGATCAAATAATGTGGGAGCATGTTGATGTTGAACAGAAGAGGCACAAAAATGGACCCTTGGGGAACTTCACGTCAATTTCGTCCAATCACATGTGTAATTACCACTCGACACAAAGTACTCCCTGTCTTTCAAATATGAGGAAGACAGGGAGTACAAAGTCCCACCCAGTTTTCCAGAGATCCCTCTTTCATTACTTCTTCTACTATATGTGTGATACCATGTTGCTCTGGTCTAAGTGTTTAATTAGCATGAAGCAAACGCCTTCGACTAGGGTTTCACGACTATATTTCATTTTGACAGCAGTATGTGTGTGAGAGAAAGAAAGAGAAATATGCATTTGAGTTCCCTCTGTTCGTGTGTGGATATTGCTGACATTTATGAATAGGCCCACACACTTTTATGTAAGGACACAGACAAGAAATAGGTCCTTTGTCAGTGCCTTCCAGAAATGACTCACTTGGTTTTTTGATCTCTTGCTCCTATGCCGAAGATGAAACTCGTGTATTTCCAACATGGAAACTATTAAGGAAGGAACCAAGAAAACACCCTCTTTGGACAACCATGTATTTTCAAGTTTATCTAATGGTTTTTGATGAAGAAAAAAAATAAGTTCCTTATTCCACAGAGAAAAGCAACAGTAGCCGTAGCTGAATGTGTTACTTAACATGTTATACGCTGAAGTTCTGTGACAGGCAATTGATTTCATGATCTGATTAAGTTTTTTAAGTAACATAATACTTTGTAGACACTGAAATTTATAGATTATCGAACATAGGATAAGGACTTAAATTCCCAGCTTCTCAATAAACACAGTAAGACACAGTTGTGGTTATTCCATATGAGAGGTTTCTGTATTTGTGTGCACATTTAGCAAGATTTAAATCTGAATCTGATTACGCTGTCGAGTTGTTTGCTTCTGTTGCAATCATATCCACTGTCTATCAAATCTGATCAAACCACGCCCTCACAGAAGACATGCTTATTTTCAGTTTAGTGTGCAACAAGTGATTTTGGCGGTGGGGGTACTTAATGGCAGAGGAAACAAGTTGTGAACACAGTTTTTATGTTGATATGGCAAACTTGCATCAATTTGTTAAAGCATTTGCAATATGTTCAAAACAATGAGAAATTGCTATTATGATGTGTGCAAGTGACAAGATGATGTGGAGGTTGAACATGCAGTTTTGAGAATTTCAATTCTGATCTGAGAAATGTACTAAAGCGACTGAGAAAAACTGTAACTCTTGAGTTTTTATGTTCTAATTCCTGTCACCACAGATGATTTGCGCCAGTGTCTGTACCTAACATCACAATAAAAAAAGGAAAGACAAGGGAGAAAACGATAGCGTCTTAATCAGTGGGAAGTGGAAACAGGTGTCTTCATGGGCCACAAAATTTGTACCTGACCTTATCCGACCTGAACAGATCTTACCCGGACTCTCAGATGCTAGCGTGGCTATGCCCATACACAATATAATATTGTATGGATAAAACTGCCTATAGTGACTTGCAACTTTCTTAAAGTAACAGGCACAAAGATTCACATGATGAAGCACTTAATTTGTTGTGTTTTAACAGATGCAACTGACTACAACTGCAACATCTGTTGTTGTAAGCAAAGAGACAGATTCTAATTTATTACCAGAAACAAAGCAACATTATCATTTATTTGGAGTCCTGTCTGTGTCCACTTTGTGAATGTATGTCCAAAATTCACTCTCTTTTAGCTGTTTTTGGTCTCTACCAACTGACTACTAAATTTTTCACTACATTCATTAAGTGGAGCGTATTAGCAGAGTTTCAGGAGCAGGACCTCAGTCACATCATTACCAGCATTTCCATAAATACCCACACATCCCAGCTCCTCTTCTTCGCTCTCACATTCTGCATCCCTCACCTCCACCCTTTTCTCTGGACAGCCTCCTGATCTCCTTCTTCCTCTCCAGAGGGTTATAAGGGGTCCGTCATGCCTGGGTGCTACAGGAGATTTCCCTATCGTAGCTTCCCCACAACGCTTTCGAATGTCTATTCAGCAACTGCAAGACTCATACATCTTTCTGCTTCAATCATCAATAAATCATTTAATTGTATCTCTTGATTGTGTGATCCTTGCAAGTGACCTAGTCTCTAATTGTGTCTGTTTGCTGTTTGGTGCTGAACAGTTAGTGTACAGAAGTTTTTTTTGGACCTTTTGTCTGAAAACAGCTTCAAGGGTTTCCATACAGCAATGGTGACATGTGCCGCTTTGGATGGATGATCTGTTGTTGCTGAGAGCTGCTGGGGTTTGTGCTGAGTTAGGCATATGTTACGAGCTGATTTGAGCAGAGCTGAGGCCTGGAAACATTTACAGCCTCTGTGTCGCCTGATGACCATTACTGTACATTCTGAGTGACATGTTTGCTTTACTAGTGAAGAGCCCCATAGCTCAGTCAAGGCTGACTCACACACACTCACACCCAGATTCACGCACCTTTCTTATACTTTGTGATCACTTAAATGTATTTTATAAAAGAAAGAGGAACACAAATATCAACAAAGCATAGAGACCAAGTGGGGAATACCTTTCTTGGTCTGCTGACTGTATGTCCCTCTTGTTTGCAGTGAAGGTGATCAATTTAGCACATTTTCTGGGAAATACCTTCTCAAGGAAATTGTTAGCTTTCCAACCCCTATATCGCTTATGTTGATTCATTCTTTAAGACTTGGATATTCCATTTTTATACCTGTTTTTTAGGATTTGTTATTTTTGCAGGCAACCCAGAACATTTCTCATCCAAGAAACAACATAGTCTTCCACAATATCACATTACCAGAAGATGTGAGAATATTTAGCATGTATGTGTAGTATAAAGTATGGAGTTTTTAATATGTAGCCTGAAGAAAAAACTAATTGAATTCTTCAATTCAACCAAAGTTGCTAGCCTTGCGATATTAAAACTAGAAACAACAACCCATAACGCAACACTCTCTGTAGTACTCTCTGCATTTAAAAAGAACTGATCTGAAAAATTGTCTAGTCCTGAAATATAAGATGACACCCACCTTTTAAACATAATTTCCAGAAAGAATGTTGTATTCTATTTTGACAAATATGGTAAATATCTCTGTGTTACAAAATCACTTTGTAAAGCCAAGGCACTTTGTAGAAAGCCTCTGCTCTAAATCCTCGATCAGAATGAATCACTTTTCAACACAAATCTGTCATCTTACATTAGGGACATACATCGAACTCCTTCTGACCACAGTTTTGTCCATCTGTTTTTGTTATAAAAGCTGTATCCTCAAACAACATAAACCCTGATAATGCCTTGTGTCATTCATCATAGTGATTAATTTTACAACACACTCCTTATCTCACCTTACACATGGTCTCCGATGTTGGATGGAGGCGCCTGCACTCTACTCTATTGTTGCATTCTTGGACTCAGTGCTGTCAGATGTTTTCAGACTGATCCTGGAGGAGCCATGGGCTTGTTATTGTTGAAATACTGTCAACTGGACCAACATGGGACTCTGAAAGCCAGGAGATTAATAATGTGAAGCTTTGCTAAAACAAACTATTACCAAGGACACAGTTTCTTCAGGACCACCAGGGTGAACTGTCTTCTACATAGCTGAGACATGCAGACATTACAGTACTTTTGAGAACCTTGCAAATTTATTCTCCAAACTATAACTTTAAAAGCAGATAATTGGGTTTTTAGGACTTAAATAGCCAGAGATTTTGTAAAGTGATGCCAGTAAATTTAGGTTTGAGTGAACGTGTTAAAAGAGGTTCAGAGGTCAATTGTGAGTCCAGATTTCTCTCCACAAAGGGCTCACTCACTGCTGTTGAAAACAAACTTTGGGGTGTTATTTAAAGTTTTTCTCACTTGCTTTGGTACATTTCTCAAATCATCCCGAACATTTGCAAAACAGGAAGTGCATTTCTCGAAACATGTCGAACAAACAGCACAACAGAGTGGATTACGTGCAAAAGCCCACAACTTGCTCAAAATCCTTTGTCTATCTCTCAAAAGCAAATCTTTGTTATTGAACATGTCAGTGCCATCAGAAGGACAAGTCCTTGTGTCATTGTTTAGGAACAAGATAGTCAGAATGTTTAGTCATGTTATCAATATAACAGTGTACTCTGTGTTTTCTTATGCACTTTTTCAATATGGCATATCAATTTCAACAGTATAAAGTAATACATTGCAAGAGATTGGACAGGATTCACAGTTACGTTTTTACTGTTCGTACTGTAATTTGTTGACAGACTATGTCATTATGATGCAGAAAAGAAAAAAAGGTTTACAGCACTGCATAGCACAAAAATGGAAATGTAAGCATGTGAAACACTCCTTCGGCTGATGTTCCTGTCTGTCAGGTCACAGATTCTTATCCACAGCATAGTAGATATCTTCATCAATTACAGTAAGGAGACATTTACAAAATAAAAGTCTAATACACATGTATAGAAAATATGATCAAAAGATATAGAAGATCTCTCTCTCAGCTATAAATATATACACACACACACATATATAAGTGGTATATATGGTCTAAGGGCAGTGTTGCTACTGTAGTATGTTGGGATTTGTTTTTGTCTATTCATATTTTGTATATGCACCATGGTCTGTACAAAACAACACTGACAACATGTTCAGCCATTTTGCATGTAGTGACTTTTGCAATGAACTAATGCCTATGTTTTGGGGGGTAAGATAATTCAACAGAGAACCGGTATCATACATTGTGATCAGCATGATGAATGTAGGAAACAGCAGACAATTGTACATAATCATTTGCATCAATATGTTAAAGCATTTGCAATATGTTCAAAACAATGTTTTTATGTTCTAATTCCTGTCACCACAGATGATTTGCGCCAGTGTCCGTACCTAACATCACAATAAATAAAGAAAAGACAAGGGAGAAAACGATAGCGTCTTAATCAGTGGGAAGTGGAAACAGGTGTCTTCATGGGCCACAAAATTTGTACCTGACCTTATCCGACCTGAACAGATCTTACCTCTCAGCTGCTAGCGTGGCTGTGCCCATACACAGTATAATATTGTATGTATAAAATTGCCTATAGTGACTTGCAACTTTCTTAAAGTAACAGGCACAAAGATTCACACATGAAGCACATAATTTGTTGTGTTTTAACAGATGCAACCTACTACAACTGCAACATCTGTTGTTCATGTTATATTGTTGACTGGACCCCATGGGTCATGGGTTTACATTAAGCAGATTAAATCCTAACCATAATACAAAGTTAACTATGGCTGCAACTAATGATTATTTTCATTATAAATGAACCTGCCGGTTATTTTCCTGACTAATCATTAATCATTCCCACCACGTTTTGTCCAACCAACATCACAAAATCCAGAGGTATTTGGTTTTCTAGAATTAGAAAATCCTCACAATGAAGAAGCTGAAAATGATTAAACTAATTAGTCAAAATTGTTTCTGATTGTTTTTCTATTGCTCGACTAATGATTTCAGTCCTACACTTAACCCTAATTCTAACCATAACCTGACATCCATGAGAGTCCTCACTTTAACAATCAGATTGTGCTCCTGGCCTTGCAAGCAAACAAATACAAGAACACACACAAACACAGGAGTAGTACACACCCAGCCTCCCCCTTAATGTGACCTTTTCACAGTGTCATGACCTGCAACCACCAGATAAGTGTGTGCAGTTGCGCAGCCACTCGAGGCAGCAGTAGGCAGATCTGTATCTCAAAACCAGTCAGCAGCTTCTCAGTATCAGAAACTTGAAAATTAAGAACATTTGAGCTCTGAAGCATCAGGACCACTGGACATGTGCTGGACAATAACAAACACCAAATTTCTATGCATTCCCACAAGCTGTGTTGTGGTCCACCTTGTTAAACATGTGGTTCCCATTGCAGCCAGATCTCTCTCTCTCTCTCTCTTACTCTCTCTCTATTTCACTCACTATTTGGCTTTTTTCACTCACTTTCTCCAAGTACAACAAACTGTTGGATTGTAAGACCCAGGTTGGCCATCATTTTGGCTGCTATGTCACTCTTTGTGTGTGTGTGTGTGTGTGTGTGTGTGTGTGTGTGTGTGTGTGTGTGTGTGTGTGTGTGTGTGTGTGTGTGTGTGTGTTTTGTTTTACTATGTTTGAAGGGTCCATAAACTAGGATTTACTATACTTGTGGGGACAGAATAGCTTTGTGGCTACCTAAATGCTGGACCCCACAAGGTTAAAGGGCTGTTTGAGGGTTAAGCATGTAGTTGTGATGGTTAAGGTTAGCTAGTAAGACAAATGTGAAAAATGTTAAATATGACTAGCATTTGATAATGATGATAAAATTATCTGCAGGAATTATAGGCTCACATGTTGCTCTCTGAAACTTATTTAGGCCCATTTTGTTTCCTTTTCAAGGGAGAATCTACACGATTCTTTCCTTCCTTGATTGTAACAATAAAGACACTCAATGTGGACTGAGTGCTTTTATTTCTCTACTTTTTCATTCCAAACAAATCCCTGTAGCAGCTTCTCTTTCTCTCCAGGGGAGGACTATTCAGAACAGGAAAAGTAACGTTAAAATAATTATTGTCATGGTTGTCAGTTATTACTTATTAAAGTAAATGGATTTTTAAGAATCTAGATGCAGCCATTATAGAAACTCCATTTTTTGTTGAAACCTATATATATAAAACTGTACACTGCTGCAACTTCAACTAGACTTTTACTAAATCCTAATGAATGAATGATTCTGCAATTAGGAAAGCTGGATTTATGTGTTTGCATTAAGTGTCCTTTTTTCTTTTACTGAAAAGTAGAACTTTACTGAGTTAGTATCACCAATGCATCATGTCATCAATTATGACCATATTTGTGTTTCTTTCTGCAGGTCCTCCAGGGCCAAAGGGAGAGAAGGGTGACACTGGACCACTGGGTCCCGCCGGGGCTCCTGGGTTGACAGGCCTGAGAGGTGACACAACCAGACTACCATTCATCAGTTATTGAATTGCATAAAAAGTTGAGATTATCAAATGCAGCACGTGTCGTGTCTGTCTGTGAAGATGGAGGGGAGCATTCTGATGGCCCTAAGGTTTAGGCGCACACGACCGCACGTCCTTGGTTTGATTGAAGCTGTTTATACTGTTATATAAATAACCCATGCCTGGCTCTAGCTATATATTTGATGGACACATATAAGAGTGGCTCAACTAATACTCAGCAAGAAAGTGAATTATTCAGTTCAATCCATCTAGATAGATAGATAGAAAAACGTGGTAAAAAGCCACAAAAATGCCACCCACTGCAAAGAAATCCCCAACCACAGTTGTTGGAAATGCTGTGCTTACAGTTATTGAAGTATCTTAAATCTTTGTAATACATGTAAGGAAGGAAATATCTGCAATTTCTGGTTGGTAAAACAATTTCTGATTTAATGAATGTGAATCAGAGGTACACAAGCACAGTGTCTAATAATGTCTGGATTTCTAATTTACTCCTTTGTGTCATTGCACTGGTTTTTGGATAGGTTTTATAAGCCCACAGGACATAAAATGTACTCAGCCTATACATGTCCAATGTAAACACCAAATTTTGAGTTAGCCTTTTATATGCAAGAGGTTCTAGGTTTAAGTGACATGAAAGGTGAAAATCTAGCTACGTTTTACACAAAACAGGCTTTGGCGGTGTTCTTACCTCTGCTTTTGTGACTACATTCAGTTGTATTAATAATGCAGTGAGCACAGAGAATAAAAATTAGAAACCCCCCTAAGAAAACAAGGACCCAGATTTTGGATGGGGATTTATTTTCAGATGGGGTGTGGACATTGCCAGTGGTACGGGTCATCTGTCTATGTCTTGCAGGTAATTCCACCAAAAATCACAACATGATCCCTCATCCAGACAGAATTGGCACCACACTGACTATTTTTCATACATAATGTGAGATACAAACAACGACAATATGAATCCAGATGATTTTGGGACCCTTTCTACCTTGGAACCTCTTGAATCATCACCCTTCAGCTCCTCCCCTGTCATCATCTATCCCACATTCACGGGATGATGAACTGCAGCTCTCACATGACATTTCCAAGAAGCATTATCTTCCTGCTGAAAGGGACCCCACCACCATCACTTTCCAAGTGAAAAATAATAATTTCTAACTGCAGGGAAGAAGGAAAAGTGCATGTTTCATAGTTAGCAGGAAAACATAGCGAACTGAAGCTACAAGGAGTACGTAGCTCATTTTTTGTTTGGTTGTATCTTGAAAATCACCATATATTTGTAAAACGGAATTCAAACTAGCCGGTGGAAACCCACAAACACCTTCGAAAACAGCATGTAAGCAGTGGGACAGTCAACCTTTCTGTTGAATCCTGGTTAAATATGATTTTATTTATTAGTTAAAATGACATGAAAAAATAAATGATAAATGGCAAAAAATACACACATTAATGCTTATTTATAGGCAATCTTCTCAAAGAGAACATTAGAATTCAGGTTAAGTGCTTACTAATAGAGGTCTAAATGGGTCCAGAAGTTTGGACCTGATCTGACATAGACCTGTGGAAGTACGAGTCCCATGTACATATATTAATTTTTTAGAAAGACACACATAATTCAAAGTCAAGTTCATTTTCATTCAAATAAATACAGGGGCCAGTCATTTCCCTAAACTATTATTCTCATTATCTATGTATACTTCACACAACACGCCACCACATTTTCATTCAAAACTTATTACACTACATTGCAAAAGTAGCTTAATTATGAACTAAAAAAGAAAATAAGTAGGCATTCTTTAAGGAATTCAGCCAACTGCTTAATTTCAGTTCCTTTTCAACACAACCCCTGATATAGCCCCCAAAGTAAACACATCATGTCAGTCATTTGGCACATAATTTGGCTTACCTGGCTACATCTTGTTTTCTGTCTACTTGGACTTTGGCTTACCTGGACTACATCCTTTCAACATTCTCCAGTTCACTTTTAACTCACAAATCAGAAAACTGCTGTGTTGAGAGAGACTGCAATTCTTTGACTGGGCAGTGGCAGAGAAGGCCGGTTTGTAAGAAGTGAGGGCAATCCGCAAACAGGGATACAAATTCTCGCTTGTCAACGAGGCACAAGCATTGATTTTTATGGCACTCATGTGAGAGAAGCTGGATTCTCAGGCGAAAACAGCAGCATGCAAAGGAGGGCTTTCATCATCAATAATGCATGTTTGTGATTGACACAGGACTGCTCTGCTGGTTTGAAGAATTTATTTTAGCAAAAATGTTGTAAAGTTTTTATTCATTTGTAAACAGAACTGATTGGCGGGCCGGAGTTGGCCTAGCTGAAGAGGCCTGGTGTACAGATTATTGAAAAAGCTGCAGTGAAAGGACAAAGGGAAGTTGTGATGATGTGTAGAAGACAAAACTAAATGTTGATTTAAAAAAATGACCCATGCTATTAACAGGTCTACATAATCTGTTTGAATGCAGTGCATGTACTTGTGTTACTCCATTTGCAGTGAAGCCAAAAGAATCTGTCATTATATCCAGGCTCTAAAATCCCTTTGGACTTGTTGAACGATATGGTTGGACTGTCCTGCAGAACACAAAGAACACTTCTGCACTCCTTCCAAAATATGATTGATTGACCTTTTTCCCAGTGGGTGTCTGAGGAGGGAGTTATTGACCCTTTACAGCAAAGAGACAGAACACCATATAAAACATTCATCCATCATTAGTTTATTTTGAGTTTTGGCTCAAATGCATTCAGTCTAATTATTTCATTCAGATTGCTGAGTAGTCACAACAGTGTAATCAGAGCGTACCAGTGTACAGTGACATTTGAAAAAGATTGTGCTTGCTTTAACAGTGCCCGTTGTGTGCCGCAGGCAATGGAGTTTGCTGGGAAATCTGAAGGATTGTTTTATGGAACAGAATTAAAGATGCAATTCTTCCAGTGTCTGCAAGCGTTCAGAGGTTTAAACAGTGACAGATGAAAGACTAATGTTAACATCACTTCCTTGTATCTAAATTTAATGATGTCGGGGATAGACAGAGGACAGGAAACAACAAAGCTTATTGGAAACATGATCAAAAAGACATCACATGCTTACTTTTTTTAAATCAAATTGCTGTAGTATAGGCTTGCAATGATATAGACAAAATCATTACTATATTGCTTCCTTATTGGCACAACATGCCATTTTATTGAATGGAGGATTTTTACTTAAGATGCTAATTAAAAGGAGTTCAGAAATTTTTTATTTAGTGGCACTCATCAGAACCAACTCCCGCTGATGTATTTAGTGGAGTTACTCTAAAACTGCCAGGAAACAAAGATGTGAGAGCGATTATAATTATGATCTGTGTTACGATCTGTGTTTGTCTTTCAGGTTTTACAGGAGAAAAGGGGATCCAGGGCCCTCGGGGAGTCAAAGGGCCTGTTGGGGCCGACGGTGTTCAGGGAGAAAAAGGAGAAGTTGGACCTGTTGGTCCTAGAGGTATGTCTTTTATCTCACATAATCACTTCATGTTTTAAATGTTCATATTTATAGCTTATGCACTCTATCAAAATATTTTTGCTCATTTCTGGCTTGATCCATTGAGGTCATGGCCAAGAACGTTCATCTAGAAAACGTATGGAAGAACAAGAACATTAACAACACAGACTTGTTATTAAAATCAGAGGACATTATAATAATCACAAAATATGAGGGAGTGTGTACTTTATGGGGCAACAGTCATTTACTCACTCACCCAACAATATCATTAACAAGTCAGCAGAAAAAGCCTGTTACTCCCAGCAGTCTTGTTCAGCTCACAGCTGAATCTTGTCACCGTGTTCACAGCTTAAATCATTTCAGAATTTCAAACTGAGAAACTCTCTTCTCACTTCTCAAACGGCTGCATGAGACAATTCTGCGGAGTAGAAAAATCCATACCAAGAATTCTTTAACACAAACAAACCGTTTGCACATCTTCCATCACTAAGGTGACAGGTGACATTGTTTTCTTTTTATGTTTTGCCATGGAAGCTATAATTGCTTAGCTGCCCATATCTTCCTTTTTTATTCCAAGGAAACAGCTGTCTGTGCCAATTAGATCAGTATTCAGCTGTCTTAAATGAGTCAGTGCGAGAAAATATTTACCCACATATAGTCATTCAGCTGTAAAACAGCGTAGACATTTTTTAAACTTTTCAAGAGTTGGATCACCAGTATTTTTGTGTCATTTTTTCTCACTGGCCCTCTTTCATCAAGCTTCCATGAAAAAGAGTTCCGAATTTACCATTAAAGTTATCCATATATCATTGTCACTTGTGATTCAAGAAACAGGCCTTAAATTTGTTTAAATCACACTATGGATTGATAAATAACAGTCAGCGGAGGAAGGACACCGAAGGACAGTTGTTTACTATTTTCCTCACATTTTTAAAGGTAACAGAATGCCGTGTGTGTGTGTGTGTGTGTGTGTGTGTGTGTGTGTGTGTGAACATAGTGAGCCCAATGCCTCACTGAGTGTGTAAGTAGGCCAATCATTTTTATATTCTGTATGATGTAAAATCCATAATGAGTATTTAATGGTGTTAAAACAGCTGACTATACCATTATACATTGTAAAAGAGTATTAGCAAATTCTTCATTCTTTTCCATTACACTATAAATATATTTCTTTGACACAAGCATTCACATTTTTCAAGTCAACATGAGAATAATCTGCTACAACACAGATGGAATTTCAGATTTTCACTGAACACTCGATACATTGATGACCTAGTGCTGCGATCTCTTTCTTTCTATTCTCGTTTTCTCTGCCCTTCCTTCCATCCATTTTTCCAGATAAGTCAACATCTACATAAATCCCTGGGGTGTTGATGTTTCCACTCTGGCATCACCAGCTGGACAGTGCCAACGATAACAAAAACTCTGACACACACAGGGTACTGTAACACAGCCATGACTAATATGATAAGGCGCTGCAATCTTTTTTATGTGTATGCATTTGTGTGTTTAGCCAACAGCTGTTGCCGATCAGAGTTTGGTTTGGCTGAAATGTCCACTGTTGGAGTCCCACAGTCCCTATGTTTGCCAGTAGCTCTCAAAATCTTGGACCAGGCTGATCAGTTGTCTGCTAAGTGTGCAAATGCACTTGGTTGTTATGGCTCATCACCAGACTCCACTCTAGTTTTGGTGCATTTTTTAAAAAGAGGTACCTATTGCTGATTGGTGTTCTGCCCTTTCTCGGCATGTAGGTGCAGTGATTTTCCAATAAGAAGACAGCTCTTGGACTGTACCAGAAGTAATTGTGAAACTGTGAAAACAGTATTGGACAATAAATTCAACTATTGATTACAAATCAGAAAAAGATAAGATACCATTAGAATTAAACCAATGGTATTGCAGAAATGAATTTGTACAGTAATAAGGAAACTGGATTTACTGAAATAGCTGTTAGATTTGTTACATTGTCCCTTATGACAGGAAAAAAAGTAGCAAGTATCAAGATCAGAAAAGATCAACTTTAAAAGCCTTGTCACACCAGAAAGGGGCACAGCGTAGTTGGTGCACTGTTGTAGCCGGCAAGCTAACTGCTAACATAATGAAATGAACATACTACTACTGCTAGTCACACGCTCACTTGCCATGCCTTGTATTTCTCACGCTAAGTTAGGAGATAACGTCCTCTAAGTTGTCCCGCTATATTAAATTAATGGAAGATTATTTTGTGGTGAGTTCATAGCTTTCTCTGTAGCCTACTAAATGCCAGAGCCGTTAAGTCGATCAAAAATTAAAATGTCTTCTTTCCTACCTGGAAACACGTTCGTTACCAGGCAACATGGATGCGCGTACACACACTGAGTGGAAGTTGGAAGCGCAAGACCCGATGGATGCGGTAACTGTAGGTTGTTGGTTTTTTTTTAGCATTTTCATTTTAGATTCCTGGATGAAATCACTTTCCTGTGATCAATGAGTGAGAGCGGCTGATGTTGGGGAGTGTAGCCAAATCATAGACTGAATATAAAAAGAGCCAAATACGTGCTAAATTATTACTGATGCAGTCAAAAACTCTTCAACCTCTTTGCAACCAGAAGCTTTGGCTTTTTAGCCAGTGGTGAGCAAAGTAACATAGGTCTATTCAGATGCTTTAAAAAAAATAAAAGTACCAATACCTCACTGTAAAAATACTCTGCAAGTACTGCATTGAAAAAGTTAAGTAAAAGTATGTAAGTAGGCTATAAACAGGAAAATGTTGAAGTGGCCAATTAAAAATAAAAGTATCCAAAGCAGAAAGAAAAATGTCCCATATGACTGTATATTGTTATATATTATATCATCAGATTATTATTCCTCATGCATTAATGTAGTTGGTTGAGGTTGAACTATTTTGTATCAGACTGCAATTAATGATTTTTTTTTATTTTAATCAGCTGATTATTTTCCCCATTAATTGATTGTAATAAATTCTGAAAATAGTGAGAAATGTTGTCACAGTTCCCTAAGTGACACCTTCACAATGCTTTGTTTGTCAGTGCAAACCTCAAAATGGTTAAAAATACATTAAAATAATCAAGTAAAAGCAGCAAATCTTCACATTTGTGAAGCTGGAACCATGAAATGTTTTTACAAAAATGACTGATAGCAAAACAGTTGCCAATTAATTATTAGCCTAACTGATGTAGTTCTACTACCCGGACTTGTATAAACTGTTGTTTTTTAACTCTTCATACGTTTTATGTGTAAAAAGCTTATTTTTTTAGAGCCACAGGGCTCTAAGTGGGAGCCCCCTACCCCTGTCATCAAGGCATTAAATGTGCAACAAACAATTACAACACAAACACCATTCATAAGCTGAAATGTGTAGCCTACTGACACACACAGCTTGGCATACATGCGTAGGGCAAGTTCTGCCATCCCAATGTAGGCCTGTGTGTACAATGTTTGATACATTTGTATTTTTGAAATGCAAGTGTATATATATATATAAATACTATTTTATCAGATTTAACTATTGTTATACTTTCTGTTTGTTTGGGTTAATTATGAACTATAGGTAAAATTTAACTGCTAGTAAAATCTTGATGTGATGAGTTATCTCACTCCAAACTTTTGATAAAACTTGAGAGCCCTGCTCCTGTCTCATATATCTTCTCCCTTGAATGTTAGCACTGTCAAGACAGCTTGCTATTGGTCAATGGTGCAAATTCACAATTCAGATTACCGTTATTGAAATAAACACAAAAAGCTTGTGCAGACTTTGCCCCTGCAAGCAAATCCACTGAAATCAATTGAAATCACTGCAAACATGGGGTGATTTGATGTGTTAACAGCATAGACTGTATATAAAATCCAGGCAACATAGAAAGACAGTATTTAATTAACAATTACCTACAATGTTGTATTGGCAACACATTAGCTAATAATGGCTAGCATAATGGCTAGCTTGGTTGTAAAGTAGTAAAGTGATCACAGAAACAACAAGTCAATAATCACAGCAACAGCTATGATAAAAGAGATAACTTAAATGCTAAGGGCGTTTGGGGAGTAGATAAAAGACGCTTGTCAATATTTGCTTTGTCGCAGATCTGACAAAATTGTGGATGTAACAATGTCAGTTAATTGACCCTTCACTAAGCCACGCCCTGAATACACAGCTGGCCAATCACAGCGCAGTATAGGACTCGCACTAACTGAGGTCCGACACTTTCATGGCTGCGCTCCATTGACTATAATGTAAAAAGAGTCGTTGTCTAGCTTTTTTTGGCTGTATTTTTGAGATATGGTCAACGCTGTTCCTGGGTCACTTGTAATAGTTACAGTCGCTACCCAGAGAGGTTGAAAGGTGAAGTACGATTTATTCTCTTTCCAAAACCTAAAATAAATCCTGAAAAATGTCAGCTGTGGATTGTTCGTAATGTGATGTTAGTTAGCTAACGCTAGCTAACTTGCTACTGAATGTAACGTAATAAAGCCCTACTGTTCTGCTTTTTAATGACTGTAAAATGAACAGAGGCCTACCCAGCTTTACAAGAACAGTGTTGATGCTTAATATCGTTGTCTTTTGTCTCAGTCGTCGGAGGATGCTGTGGTTCACTTGTACTGTAGGTAGGCTTTAGCTTCTATCTTTCATTTTTTTCTCTTCTGTTTGACTCAGTTTGAGAGCCTGAATACAACCTTCAAATGTACAATGCAACTGCAAAACTGTCTGCTTCTTTCTGAGATCACTTTTTCCAACAAATTAGACAATATTTCTCCAGCAAGTGCAGTAATAGACAGTGGCAGCGCAGTCAGTTTGTCTGACTTAGCAACAGCAACTAAGGGGGGCGGGGCTTAGCGAAGGGTCAATTGTTAAGGAACTCTGCCTGTAGTGGTTGCTATTAGCAACAGAAAGTTCACTGAAAACTTTTTCTTCTCCAAACAACTTGTATTTTCTAGCTTTTTAATGAAAAAACTTGTGTAACACCTGTGTTTGGTTTGATCAGTGTAACGTGTCAAAACGGGCAAGAGGAATTTGTCTTTTGTTGCAAATCAGAGCTTGCATGTTGTAATTGGTATAGGAGGCCTCAGATTTATTTGGAGTAAACAGAAGAAAACATGGACAATTAGCAGCAGCAATAGCCACCATGGCTGAACATACATGAAAAGAGTGCCACCCACAAACAATGCTAGCAATGGCAACAATGTTTGATTGACAAGTTAATTATGTGAAGAGTAGCCACACAAGAAAGCTTTTTTTAAGAAAACAAGAATCTTTGTGGATGTTTGGTCATCTATACTCTGGCAGTTTTTAACAATGTCTGTGTGTGCTTTCACCCATCTGGGGTCTGGTTGCGGGTTTAACAAACCAGTGAAGGGTGACGAGTTTGTAGAATTTCTGCTGTGAACTGGGCCTCAGCGAAAGGCAGTTTCTCAGCTGCGGAGGGAGGAGGGATACTGAAAGCTTGTTAAAACAGCACTGGGAAGCTTCAAGGTTTCTTTTTATAGGTGAGTGGTGGGTAGACTAAGCAGGGAGTGCATTATGCTTTTACTTTCATTGTAAAAATTTAAATATTGTCATCTCCTAATTCTTATTCAAAGCTGCATTAATGTTTTGGTCACTTGGCCAGTTGAATAATTTCTCATCCAATCAAGCAACTTTACTGAGAGTCGTGTTTTTGATTAATTTTATATTCAGGTGATGATTATAAGTCCAGTTTTCACTCCCATTTTAACATTGTTTTGGTCTCCACAAACTACTGAGAAAAACATCTGGGTTTTCAGCTGCTAAATTGCCCACTATGTTCACCTGTTGCTAACTTTGTTCCTTAGCGTACACTGGGTTTATCAGAGCTTTTCACTGTAAACAGCTGTAAAACAAAAACAATGAGCTAAAAAGCTCCAGAGTTTGGTGATTCCCAGAATAAACAGTCATTTGACATCAAGACTAAGAGGCTACAGTATACAAATACTAATGTTTAGCTTTTTAGCATACCAGAATTTGCTAATTAGCACTGAAAACAAAGTAGCCTACAGCCTGGGCTGATTATTTTTGCAGGCATTTATGATATCCTGATAGTCTTTACTAATAGAAAAATTTTACCTGATCATATTCACCCAAAGTCATTAGGAATGCCTGTACAAAATGTAATGGCGGTGCATCCATTAGTTGTTGAGATATTTCAGTTTGAACAAAATACATGGATCAACAGACTCACTTTTCCATCCATACAGCCATGCCGCTTATATGGCTAAAACTGTTAATGAGTGAAGTTTCAAGTACTTAAATTACAGTTATCCATAGCTGCATTCAGAGCCAACAGCATGCAATTTAAAATTACTTTTAAATCAAAAGCATCTGTTGTCTCTTGTGGCTCAGCAGTAGCTTACCAGTGTGTTTGGGTTTTTCACGCAGTGTTATTTAGTTGTTAAGGATGTGGTCAAGATGGAGGTGACACTGACAACTGAGGGCGTCACATGCAGGGTGTGGCGTTAGCTACACTACTCAGAAATGGACACACACATACAGTAACACATGGTTAATGGAACAGACTACCACTTCGGCTGGCAAATGCCCTGTGGTCTTTGACGTGAAAAAAAGTCAAATTAAAGGTGGGATAAATGCCCACTTGAGGCTCCATTGATCCTCTTATAGCTTCATGGCAAAAACAGACTTGTGGTTTCAATCCTCATGGCTGAAAATTAGCAACAATTGGCACTGAAACAGACACTCTCCTGTTTTGGAGGTTATTTCTAAGAGTTTGGAATAGAATCATATTTTGAAATGAAAACATATGAGAAATAGTCGTATCCATGCTACTGATTGGAGGGAGGTGTTGTGCGTAAACGTACTGTAATTTAGCAGAAACCACAAATGAGAGGATTTTTACTTACGTTGATTTATTAGCTTTGCATCGTATTAACTTTCCAACATGCAAACAGCTACACTGTAAAGTTGCTCCAAGAATTTACCTTGACACTGGTACCTTTATTTCAGTCCCAAATATCTGTTTTCAATACTTCGTCTTCTCTCTCTTTCTTTTTCCTCTCTTTCAACCTCATTCACCTCCAGCCACCGCAGAAAAAATATTTAACTACAGCTTTTAGAGGTAAATTAAGCACCAGGGTGGGTATCCTCTAATTTTACATTTTATGCCTATATCACAAAGCAAGATTACAGGACTGACTATTTCAGAGGCCTTTTCTGAAAATATACAAAGGAGTACAAAGGAGAGGAAATGGGTGTGAGGTTTTAAAATTTTAACCTGTTGAGCTGCTCCTCTGTTATTTCAGTTACACACACATTTCTGCCCCTTTGCGTGGTTTTCACTGTAGTACACATAACTTTTGGTTGCGAAGACCCATTCAGACACACCGGAACCACTGCTTCAAGGTCACACCAAAACCTTTCCTGTGACAAATACCCACATGGCCAATAGAAACGAGGCTTCCAGGCAGGCACGGAAGGAAAAATTGAGGAAAAGCTTATGTTGTGTGTGTGTGTGTGTGTGTGTGTGTCTGAATTACCTTAATTGAATAATACAAGTTGTACTCTTGTTGTGAGACCTCAGGAGGAAAGCCCTATCTTGGTAACATGTTTCTAACCATGTAGGCAACTCAGGTGTGTTTCAACAGGTAGCTTGTACACAGGTAATATGTGTGGCCTAAATGATAAACATAGCTACAAGTTTTTAAGTCCTCTGCGACTTACCCTAACACCTAGTCAGATATGTGCTGAAACCAGTGGCAGGCACAGCTCAAATCACGTTGCATCCTAAAGGACCAAGGTTCAATCCCTGGCTCCCCCTGGTTGCGTTTTGGGCAAGATACTGAACCCCGATTTGCCCTTGGCGGCTGTTCTGCCAGTGTATGAATGAGTGTGAATGTTAGTAAATATGCTTAGAGTGGTCGAAAAGACTAGAAAGGCGCTATACAAATACGGAGCATTTACTTTGTGTGCCATGAGTTTTTTTTTACTTACAAACTGAGTGAAAAACACTATAAACCTCACATTTTTGTCATGTTTGACGCTGATATTTCAGTACTCAGCATATTATACATTGATTGTGTCCTTAGGCCCAGGCCAAGTTCTGGTAAGAGTTACATTTTGCCAATTCAGATGTTATTTTTGCTCGGTGAAGTCTGTATGATTTTTTTGTTTTTAATTTTTTTTCTGCAGGTGACAGAGGAGAGAGAGGATTTAAGGGTGAGAAGGGGGAGCGAGGAGACCGAGGAGAGAAAACAGGTAAGAGCTGAAAAAGAACTGAGCGTATTGAAATGGAAATTGTTATTGCATTCAAAAACAGTGTTTCTGTTCCTGCACCCCTTTCAGCAGATCGACATTTTTGCCTTTGCCTTCCAAAATGCTTAGGTTACAAAAAGTATTTTATTTGATTGATTGTTAATTTGCCACTTTGGTCAAGGATTGGTTACGTTTGGGCAATTGAATTAAGGAACCGTTTTAAGGAACTGTCACTCATGTCCAAATCACTCACTCAATGGCTTTTCTGACCTGACATGAACTTCCTAATATGATAATTCACATGGCCACAAGAGGTCCTTGTCAGGTAAATATAAGGTTGTTTCAAACATTTTTAGACTGGACCAGTGCTGCTTTTAGGGTGAAAACGGTCTCAGAAAAGGGCAAAAGTATTTACTCTTCTTCAGCTGCCCACAAAGAGTCTCTCCTAGTTAATAAAATTTTTCCATCTGTTTGAACAAATAAAATACGCGTATGAGTTATGTTAGCCTGCATAGTTTGCATTGGAAATGTTTTCAGTGAATAGTTACAATTCACCTTGGTTTGGGATCTTCCACGGTCCTTGACAGGGTTTCAAATGAGGAACAGTAAAAATAAATTACCCCAATTTTATTCTAATAGTACATTTTTCTCGCCATTTTTCTCTCACCTGTACGTTCTTGACTGTTCGACTTGAACACGCTTAATAACAACAAAACAGAAAAGCAAAGCTGGAAGATTTTTTATCAACTTAAATTCCCTAAAATAATAACATCCTGTAAAGAATGCCAAGTCTCTCTTTTGGTTAAATAATGTGCTGCTTCCCGCTGCAGACAGACTGGTATGGAGTCAGTTAATCCAATATGGTTAAACAGTAAAGTGAACATGTTCTGCTAAAAGATTCAACTCTGAAATTAAGTGTTTTATAGACTTTATTGCAGAAAAGCATGTTGGAACGCCCTAAGTTATTCCCACTAATTAGTGTTGTAACAAAGCACTGTTACAATTCCAGTGACACTGTTTTATAGGGTTTCCACTGTCTTATTCTTCAGCAATGCTCACAGACATAGAAATTTCAAATACACATTGAAAATGTATTTTGGGTATTAAAGATACAACAATGTTGAGGCTTTTTCTCTGCTTCCACTCCCAACACAGTTTTATGACTGTTCACAACTTTCTTTAGGATGCATTTTAAGTGATGGTATCCTCGTGTAAAGAAGAACATCAGCAGAAATGTATTTTACATATATTGTAAATCAAGACACCACAGCAGATGTCTGAAATAGTTATATTCTCTGTCCATGACCGATAAGAGGTAGTGGGAGAAAAGTAGTCCCAGTTGTTTCTCTCCTGTATTAACATACATCAAAAAGATAAGCATGCAATTTTCTAAAAAATATATAAAACCCAGAAGATTGTTTGACAACACACAGCTGTTCTGATTTTTAGAATCCTCAGACTCCTCTAGCCATCTCGATCTGGAAACTTGCTCTATAAATAAAAACAATTTAAACCTGTTCATCAAGTTGCAACTGTAGTTCCTAACCCATTTAGCTGGTAATGACATATACCTTTGCTATTTGTAAACCGCAAGAAAAATATTAACATGTCATATAGAATAGATACTGTAGATCATATATATGGCTACCATCTCTGTTTGGATTAGGACAAAGAGGTGCAACTTGGAAAATCTTTTTAAATATGCAGTGGACAACATTTTTTATATGGATCTTCTGAAGCATCTCTGAGAATTTTGGAAATACCGTAAGAAGCAGAGGTGTTAAACAGCCCTCTGGGTATTCCAAAGATTTATTTCTTAGGAAAATTAGATGATGTATCTGTGACTGAAATGTGCTGCAATTGAAATACTTGAGCGGCACAAACCAGGGTTTGGGGAGAAGCTAGCTTCATACAGACGTTGTAGACTGATTGCTTTGAAAGTATGTTAATTTGAGTTGATTTTACAAAAATTATTCGAAGCACCATCTAATTAAACAGTATGGGTAAATTCTATGAATAATCTACTGTTAAAATTTAGTTTATATTGAGTTATGTTAAGTAAAATGCAGTCCGGCTGCACTGTCACTCAAAGTAAAGAAAAACCTCCAGGGCACCACTGCTATAATGCAAGCACATATATCAGTGCATATGATCCAAAACCAACAGTTAATACGAGAACAAAAATTTATGAGCTGATGACTTTATGGGCCTCATACATCTCTGCCCCACCTGATATCCTGTGCAAAGAACTGTGCAAAGTTTAAAGGCTCAATAGATCTGCTTTTCTTTTCTCACAGTTTCCGACACACGATGAAGGTCCACATGGCTTAACGTACATCAAAAGTATTGAAAAACCATTGTGTGTATGCATCTGTCATGGTAGTAAGCTGAAACCTCATGCAAAACCCCAAATCTGGATCAGGTAGAAAGAAAAGAACATTAATGACCCCGAAACCTCAAATATTATTCTTCCTTTGTTACATCACCCTGGTTGTTCTCCATATGATGAGCAATGGAGTGGTGTTCACATCAAATAGACTCAATCTCTCGACCATCTAAATGCTGTTTCTCCCCATTAGAGAGCTGTCACATCATTTACAAGACACAGATCTGTTTCAGAGAAAGAAAGACTGACTGCAACCACATGCTGTTGGCTGTTAGATATATCTAACCTCCATGTCGTGCACCTTTCTGTCACAAACTTTATGTGGCTGACGGATGCCTCAGATCTTTTTACACTTCAAAGCATGCAGTGCATACTTGTATGATCCCTTACCAGAACGAGCACCAGAGTGACCCAAGACCACTAAAGTTTTGTCTGCGTTTGTCCACACATGTTGGGTGTTACCACAAAATTATCCTGTCATACAGGACGTGATGTCACTGAAAGGATCAGAATCTTTAGCTCTGTTGAAAGCCTCGACAGCGCAAAAACATGTAAAAAAGAGCAAATGGACCCCAGATTGAATTCATTTGTGATACTTGGAGAGAGAGAGAGAGGTCTTTCATCTGTGTAAAACAATTTTCTTCTATTTAATGATCTTTTAATTGACAATTAAGTCTCTTAAGTCACCAGAAACATACTTAAAGTGAAAAGGAAGAAAAGGAGAAAATAAAAAACAGGAAAACAAATAGAGAAAGAACAGGTTTTTTACTTCACCCATGCGAACCTTGTAGAGGATTGTCTCTAATGCCTCGAGCAAAATCTGTATTTCTGATTTCTTGACATGCAGTGTTTCTGGTCTCTGTATTTGTCTCCATATTTATGTAAATAAATAAGTAGCAGTTTACATCCAATGTAAAGTCTATAAACTGCATATTGACTGCATGGTCTTTAGTCTTCAAACCAGTTACAATTGTATGTCAAGCTTTCAGTTCTTACACGGCACATTTAGTTTACGTGGGGGGTCCGACAAGATGGCGGTGTGATAAGAGTGTTATACCAAGCTCTGCGGCCAGTCCACTGATAATATCAATTAGCTGATAGAACTAAATAGGATTTTCTGTATTTAGTGGGTTGATTACATGCAAAGATGCCAAAGTCCACTTAAAAAAAAGACTTGTTAAGTATCACAAACATTTAAATACTTACAAATACAAATACAAATCTTTTTATTTGAATGGGCTGCATTTCCTGTTCATAAATACATAATTAAAAATAAACATTTTTTTTGTCACAAAGGAAGTCCAACAGTTCATTGAATTGATTCCAAAGGCTGTAAAAACTATTAATAAATGCAGTCGACAGCAAGCACGGGCTGCTGTAGAAGTAGTAGTTTAAACTTTTATAGTGGCTGTATGTCAACACAGATGTACTATTTTCTACTTGCTTCTGGTCTTTATAAATATATAAATAAGTTGGTTATCTTATTATCAGTGAGTTTTGGAAGGAGGCAGAAAAACAAACGATTGGTTTGGGGTTCCCACAGACCAGTGAGCCAAACATCAACAAGGAGCTCGCCATGTAAACATCCCCAAATCCAACAAAGAGCAGGATAAAGATGATGCTGCAGCTCCAAACCAAAATCCATAATACTAACTGATGGAAGTGCTAGGTGTTAGCGGGGCTTTTTTTTAATGTAACCTACCCCACAAACTAATGCATGTAATGTAAGGTGGTCCTTGACTTGGAAGTACTACTGTAGGTTTAGTTAGCTGGACCTGCAAAAAAAGTGGCTGATATAAGAGCAACACACTTTAATCCATTAACATTGGTGTATATTCCTGTGAATGTTTCCATTATTCCCTCAACATGGCACATGGACAGATAAGAATATCATAAGCTGTAACATATCATGGCCTGAAATATGTCCAACATTAGCTCAGGCTAAAGTTCAACAATTTGTCTATTATAATTCCTGAAAGACATTTTCCCATGTGTATTTGACTTGTAACAAAGCACCTAATATGCTTTTCATTTCTGGGGCATTGCAAAATTTTGTGTAATTTTCACTTGACAGTTGACATATTACAAGAGAGATTGGAAGTGATAAGTACATACACACACAACCACACACATACACACAGCGCTTATACTTTCAGAGGACAGCTGACACTTTGATCTCCAGGGTCCAACTTTAAGTGTTGTGGGTTTAATGTTTTACAGGCTGTTTTTACAGTGGATTTGTGCAGCTACAGGGATCCAAATATAAATGATTTAACTGATTGCTTTAAACTCTAGTAAGAAATTTATTTTCACCCTGGAATTGGGGTTCATGAAAACACTGTATTATTATTTTTATATGGAGGTTCATCTGACGCCAAGCTAAAGGCTGTACTTCGTGTCACCCTCCAGCACCAATAGTGATGAACAGATCAGACAATATATTTATTTTTCACTCCTCAGTTCTCCCTTAATTATGTTGAAATACCCCTTACTTAGTTTTTATTATTTATATTCACTTTATTTGTTGAATCCAATTATTCGTTGCAGGAACAGAACAACCCAGCTCCCCCACAGTGTAGTTTAATCTAATTTTATTCATTTGTAATTTCATGCTTTT